CGAGGGGGGAGATCCGAGCTGCCGGGCAGTGTTCAAACACTCGACCGTGTTTGTCTCTGGAGACACCCGTTGCCTACAGACTAATTGTTCCCTGCGCAAGGCGCGTCAAAGGTCATTGAGCCGACCTCCCGCATCTCTCCGGTGAGGAAACCGCAGCACCCAGTTGGCGCGGGGTGCCCGACTGGGTGATAACTGAGTTCTGTTGAGCCTTAAAGAGGTAAGGGGTAGGGCACACCCTTAAGAACACGGAATGCGTTCGCAGGCCAGGCTTGCCGAACGTGAAAGTGACCGTGAAGTGCTTTGAGAAGCCATAAAAGATCCTTATCGATCTCGGGGCGTCGGGCGTTATTCTCTATACTCCACGTTAGAAGGAAGGAAGCTGTATACTGAGGCACTGAAAGCTCGGTTGAGTGATACCGTCACTGTTTGCTTTGCGACGAGGACAGGTGCCACGGTGCTGAAGATCCCTGTAGACCTCGGTGTCAAGTTTCTTGATTTTGGTAGCATGCTTAGTCTTAGACTTGAATTCAAGGTATGACCTTATCCTTGGTATGCCATGGTTGGAATATGACCAGATCTCGGGTCGGCAGACTTAAGTCTGTGCATCGATTGGAGGTCGAAGACCTTCAAGGCTACGCGCACGTCCCCTAATGGAGCTTTGATGAGACATGAACCCTTCTGCCAGGAAGCAGAAGCGCTGTTGGCGCGAGCACTGGACTGGGATGGTCAATATGCTGAATATCGTAGTATGCGAGAGTTGTTAGACACCGAAGGTGTATTGGACAGGAGTCCTGCACATTGCTCGCGGGCTGAACTTGGAGTGGCACGTAATCCACTGAGACCTGCCCAGGTTTCGAAGAAGTTGCCGCATGCCAAGAGTGGGATAGTCGGACTAGGTCCGAAGCATCTTGAGCAAGGCCCATCAGATGCGCGTGGATTGGTACGTTATCCACTGTACGAACGACTGCAGAAAAAGCAGCTTTTTGTCTGATGTTTTTCATAGCATCATGGTTCCAATGGAGCAGGAAGTGTGGACACTGGACGACGCCGAATGCGTGTATTTTCTGGTCTTGTCGAGACATAGAACATCCGTGGAGGGGCAACGGTGACGCCGTATATTATCTGCAAGACGCAGAAGGTCGACCCTAACCCAGGGTGAGTCTCCCGTAGACTATAGCGCACTATTATACATCTTCGTCAACAGTATGACGGGGGAGGAAGACGGCAACATCATCCTTGACGCTTTTCTTGCGGCGGGCGCTTTTGTTCGAGCTGGACAAATTGGCCTTTGAAAGGTTCGGTAGTGCCGTAGAGGCAGGTAACCTAGCCGAAGAGGTCATATCACGACCGGACAAGGAGATCAATTCGTCGTCGCTTCTAAATGAAGCTGTCCTGGAGGACACCAAGAGGGTGCTAAACGCACGAAATGGATCTTCGATCCTAGAAAATCTCTCGGATCTGT